GGAGGAGGTATCGGTCGGAGCTTGGTAGGGCTTGAGGGGCGAGTTATCGGTCAGCTGGTGCTGAGGTGTTGTATTCTCTTCCCTTGTTATTTCCTTTATCATTATTATCATTGGTGGTAGCAGTAGTGATCTGTGTTATACCTTAGTTACTAAACTGTTCTTATCTCAACCTGTGGGAGTTGCATTCTTTTGATTCTCCTCTCCGTCCCTTCAGGAGTAGGAGGAGAGAAAGAAGAGGGGGGAGTGAGTGAATGAGTTACCTGACTGGGTTTAAACCACGACAGCAGGGCAGTTGAATACTGCAGAGCTTTTGCTGATGAGTGGGGTAGAGAAGAGAGTTGGGTTTAGCAGGTTTTCATCTTACCCATGATAACTGTGTGCCTACAAATGAATTACCCAAATGTCTTACTTGTTTTAGAATGTTATTTGGAGCAAATCCCTTTGTATATCAAATAAAAGAGCAAGAGGTCTCCCATTCCTTTCTGCAGTGCTGTATATCTCACCCTTGCTCGGCAGGAAAAACTTGATCTCAAAGGGGCTGTGTTTAATGGTTGCACTTGATGATCTCAAAGGTCTTTTCCAACCCAGCTGATTCTACCATTCTATGAACTGAGTTTTTGGCAGCCTTTGGGGCTGTGCTGGTTTTTGCTGGGATAGAGTCAGTTTTCTTCACAGGAGCTGGTGTTGGGCTGTGTTTTGGGTTTGTGCTATGAACAGTGTTGATAACACAGGGATGTTTTTGTTAACAGTGAGTGGTGTTTTAGCAGGGTCAAGGCCTTTCCTGCTCCTCACACCACCTCACCAGCGAGTAGGCTGGGAGGGCACAAAGAGCTGTGGAGGAATATGGCTGGAACAGCTGACCCTGACTGCATATAATACACCATACATCATGCTCAGCATATAAAGCTGGGGAAGCTGGAGGAAGAGGGGAGAAGATGCTCTCCAGCTTTCCTGCAGCCCCTTCAGGCACTGGAGCTGCTCTCAGGTCTCCCCTTCAGGAGCCTTCTCTTCTCCAGGCTGCCCCAGTCCAGCTCTCTCAGCCTGGCTCCAGAGCAGAGCTGCTCCAGCCCTCGCAGCATCTCCATGGCCTCCTCTGGCCTCGCTCCAACAGCTCCACGTCCCTCTTGTGCTGCTGCCCCAGAGCTGGATCAGGGCTGCAGGGGGGGTCTCCCCAGAGCACAGCAGAGGGGCAGGATCCCCTCCCTGAGCTGCTGCTCACACTCTGGGGGTGCAGCCCAGCACACAGCAATACAAGATGGTAAATGGCCATTGAAACGGCAGGCTTCCTTCATAGAACCTCATTTCTAAGTGACTGCATCCAGCTGCTCTAGAAATACCAGTAGAAAAGAAACCCATTGTGGAAAAATGACAGTGAAGCTTGGCTTCTCCCCACTCTTCTGTTCATTAGAATCAATTGGGAAATGTTTGTAAGACTTTGTAAGTGGCTTCTTCCTTCTCCAAATGGGACCAGACCCTACAAATCTCCTGCAGGGATTCACAGACATCTGCTGTGCTCTCCATCCTCAAAGAGATGCTTCCCCATGACATCCCAATTCTCTGCTATATAAACTGTGATTTTTTATCCTGTATTCTGTACGGCTTCCTTCAGAACCCTTTCAGATTTCACATTGAGATCATTAATTAAATGAATGGTTATTTTCATGTTCCATTTCTGAAGAATGTCAGCCTGATGCTTCTAGTTTCTTATTCCTAAAGGGAATGTCATTTTCCCCCTTAAACAATACTGCCATATGCTTCAGCTACGAAATCCCCATTTTCTCCCACCTAACAGTTTCCATAATTGTGCTATTTTAATGTGTTATCAAAGAGATGAGATCTGTTGCGTTCACCTCTTCTGTTGGATTTCCTTCATGTAAAAAACCTCTTTATCAAATAAAATGTCCCATTACTCTGTTGCACTTTGTATTATATTCCTTCCGCACTGAAAGTTGTTTTAAAGCCCTGAGTTCTATTGTGGTTGCATAGTGGTTAGCCTGAAATCTACCTGATTCACTCTCCACATTTCTTTAAACGTAGATAATACACTTATTCTTTCCCTGTCACACAGCACCACTTTCAGGTTGGTTAAAAACCCCACACATGCTCCTGGAATTGCAGTTTCATGCTCTTAGACCTGAGTCCATCCAGGGTTTTCTCTGCCCGTAGTTTCATTGCTGCTCTGCCTGTTCCCATATGCTGGATGTCTCCTGCTTAATGGAAAACTATAGAACAGTGCTCAGGTTTTGAGCCATAGTAAAATGTCCTCAACCTCACTGCAGACAGGTTCAGTCTTACTCATCTGCTCGTGGAAATAAAGTTCCTTCGGCGTGTTCTCTCTTCCCTTTTATCCCTTAACTTCTCAGTCACCGAGAGGAACTCTCCTTGCTTCCTCCTGGATACCCTTCTCCCATCCCATTCCCCAGCATTGGACACTGTTAGGATTCGGCTGGACAGGTTGGACCAGATGATCCTTGAGGTTCCTTCAACCTGGGAATCTGGGATTCTGTGATCTCCTTTGTCTGGTCCTCCTGTTTTTATGACGTTTTCTTGTGGCAAAGTGGTACTTGAAGCATCTCAAGTGATTTTATCCTCATTGTATCCTCATACTTCACACAGGACTGTGCTCTGATGGTGTTTACTGGGTTTCACATCATTGTATTTCCTTTCCTCACTTGCTGCTGTTTCATGCATTCTCCTGGATGCTCAGAGAAATCATTGTTCTGGCTGAGCATTCCCAGGCCAGCCTTGTGCTTGCTTGCACTGACAACATATAGACTGCATTGTCCAAGCATCAGTTGAACATTGATAGTCTCTGATGATCAACTGATCACTCGAAATGCCCGTGGGATTGAGGAGTGTTCTTTAGTGTCCTCCTTTAGTGTCTTTTTTGTCTCCTGTCACCAGTGTCACTCCCTCTTTCCAGTCAACAGAGAAGTTTGATGGCTACTCCAAAACTATTGGTTGCATTAAAAATGAGAATATCTCCTGGGGCTGTTTCTATCCTACCAGCCTGTGTGTAGATGAATATCTGCTCCTTTGCCTCTACCAGTGTGAGGGCTCTGGTGCAGCTCTGCATCCTCTGGCATCACCCTGTTCCCACTGACTACTGCATTCTCCCACCAGATCCACAGGGATCCCACCTCAACAGCCATCTCCTTCCCTTCTCGTTGGCTGAACAGTGCTAGGAAGAACCTCCATCACTATGCACCAGCTTCTTGCCTCTTTTCTCACAAGGTTTTAGTGGCTGTGCTTGATGCTGAGCTGCTCTTAGGACTTGTCAGAGCCGTTTAATCACATGCTTCACATGCATCCCTCTTTGTCCCAGTGTGCAAGTGAGCAACTTCAGAAGGAAAGCTATTTCAGGGAAGAAATTACAAATGTTTCGTAATAGGCAACACAAATTATTGACAACAGCAGCATATTGCAGTGCCTAATTACCTTAGGAGAAGCTTCTACTTCTGTTCTGCCTGGGTGGCTTTTTTTGGGTAGCATATCCACAGAAAGGATTTTCAATTAACATTGACCTTTAATACTTGGGCTGGGTTTTGATTCTGCAGATGGTGAAAGGGACTACAAATGAGATTTTGCAATATACCTTGTTCCTTGTATTTCTCAGCTGATTAGTTTCAGCCTGTTCCCAGTGGCTACACAGGTGTATTCAGCTCACAATTCCCCAGCAATCTCCAGTGCCATGTTCAACCCCCTGAGATATTGTGTAGAAACGCTGTCAAACTCCTCAGATAGACATGTTTTCATTCTCTAGCTGCAGTTTTTACTCATTTTAGCAAAAACAAAGTCTTTGTTTATGGGCGAATATTGTTAAACTGAAATTCAGAAGGAAAAGAACCCGGCTGGAGTACATCTGCTGCCGATTGTAGGGGTGGTGTTGCTCATTGAGCTGCGGTTAAGGTGACTATTATACCCCAAAGAGCACAGTTATTCGTTATTGTTCTACTAATAATTGGGAAAAAGCTTAAGTATGACATAATAAACAAATCACGTTTGTCTGAGTCACTGCCATACAAAAGAGCTTTTAAGAAATATTTAATAGACCTCTGATTTGTGTTCCATTGTTGCTGTCAGCAGGGGAATCCATGCTAATTGAATGTATGTTTGCTTTAAACAAGATGTCTTGAACATGATCAGCAATGACAAATCTAATAATGCCTTGAAAAGGAAAATATATCCTTTTGGATTCTAAGTGCACAGGATCATATAATCCTGGAATGGGTTGGGTTGGAAGGGCCCTTAAAGCTCCTCCAGCTCCAACCCCTGCCACGGGCAGGGACCCCTTCCACTAGAGCAGCTTGCTCCAAGCCCCTGTGTCCAACCTGGCCTTGAACACTGCCAGGGATGGGGCAGCCACAGCTTCTCTGGGCACCCTGTGCCAGTGCCTCAGCACCCTCACAGGGAAGAGCTTCTGCCTAAGAGCTCATCTCAGTCTCCCCTTGGGCAGGTTCAAGCCATTCCCCTTGGCCTGTCCCTGCAGGCCCTTGTCCCAAGCCCCTCTCCAGCTTTCCTGCAGCCCCTTTAGGCACTGGAGCTGCTCTCAGGTCCCCCCCCCCCCAGTTTTTGATAGAAAAAATCTCTTGGTTCCTTAACTAAGCAAGGTGAAGTTTGCTGTTTCTGAGGCAAGAGGAGTAATTTTGCACAGCCCACCTGCCTGCTCCTGGTCAGTAGGGGTTGAAGGTGGAGGAGAAGGGACTGCTCCAATGGAGTCATTTTGTCTAGGTCAGAAATCATGGAGACTCACTGCCTACTGCTCCGCTGACCACTCCCAGCAGGAAAGCCTGAAAGGAAGAACAGCAGAAAAAGATATCTGTGTTCATTGTGTGTTTGTAAAGTCAGCTGCTGGTTTTATGATGATTTGCGAATTAGCAAATGGTTCACGTTCTGAGGTTCAACTCTAACATACATATTCAGTCCAAAAATCAATAGTAAGTTAACAGTGTTATGAAGCTCTCACTTTTCCATGCTTACGGTCTCCCCTTTTTCCCTAGGTGTTACTTGGAGGATGGAGCTTCCAAAGGTGCCTGGCTGAACCGGTCAAGTATTATTTTTGCTGGAAGTGACAAGTGGTCAGTAGATCCTCGGGTTTCAATCGCCACAGCAAACAGAAGAGAATACAGCCTGCAGATACAGGATGTCGATGTGACAGATGACGGTCCCTACACTTGTTCTGTGCAAACTCAGCACACTCCTAAAACGAAGCAGGTGCACTTAACTGTACATGGTATGTGCTTAAACCAACTGAAAAGCCTTATTGGGGATGCACTAGAAAAAATCAGTTTATAGATGGGAAATGTCAGCTTTTAAGCATATTTTAAAGCGCCCTGTCTCCCTTCTCTCCCTTCTCTCCCTTCTCTTCCTTCTTTTCTTCTCTCCCTTCCCTCCCTTCTATTCCTTCTTTCCCTTCTCTCCCTTTTCTCCCTTCCCTCCTTTCCCTCCCTTCTTTCTCTTCCCTCTTCTTGGATGTATGTAGGCATAGACTACTTGTAGTTTGTATGTAGCCATACAAACAAGATGTTGTTTGTGCCATTGGCTCTGGACCAAGTAGATAGCTGACAGAAGGGTGTATAACTTGCCAAAGCCAGGTTTAAATCCTCACTCCTGCTCTGCTGACAATGGAACAAGATGTAGAAATACAAGAGGAAAACCCCAGTATGATGGTTGTGGTGCAGTTCCCTGCAGGGGTACTCTGCTGGTATCTGTTGCGTTGGTTTAGGTCTTCTGCATGGCACCAAACCTGTTTGTTTTGGCTGGTGTTTGATCTAGCCACAGTGTGCAGGTGCATCATCAGGTGCTGAGCCAGTGGAAGGTTTACATTTTAACATTTGCATTTTAACGTTGGTACCAAATATCTGCAGAAACACCCTCACGTCCCTCAGGATATCACGGTGTGTTCAGAACCAGGCAGCGCCACTGCCGTGGTACACGGCAGGAGGGTCGTTGTGACCAGGACCTGGCTGTCCCAGGGGATGGAACAAGGCCACGAGCCACGCTGCGATGGCCATGTAACACAAGTGTTGAATCAAAGATGAGTGATGGATGCAGCGGGACAGGGGCAGGGGCACAATCTGTCACACACTGCTGGCAGGTGGCAGGGCCATGAGCTGTGCTGGCACCCCAACAGCCCCTCTGGCTTTCTGACAAGAGCTCTGAAGGGGGTGAGTTGTTTTGTGGGTTTCTTCAAGGCAGTTCCTTGAGGGCAGCTTGGGAGAAAGAACAAAAATCTTAATCCTTGGCATGTGTTTTGCAGCCCCGGTGTCCCTGGAGCTGCAGGTGTTGTGGCTCTCTGAACCCTAACCCTAAGCGGATGAATGGCATCTTGGAGCTGAGGCTGAGGTCCCCAGCTAGCACCATGGGTGGCTCAGATGAGAAAGGTGTGGAAGGAACAGTGCTGGTGCAGTGCTGTGTTTCCCTTGGTACCCTTTTGGAACCCGGGTGTCCCTAGAGCTGTAGGCTTTGTGGCTCTCTGAACCCTAACCCTAAACTGCATGGCATTTGTGCCCTCTGAACCCTAACCCAAACACGTACCCTTAATCTAAATGGTATCTTGGAGCTGAGGCTGAGGTCCCCAGCATCATGGTGGCCCAATTGAGAAAGGTATGGACAGAGCAATGTTGGTGCAGTGCCATGGTCCCGGGATGCTCATCCCCTTCCCAGAGCAGCTCAGCTGCAAGGAGGGATTCACCAGGGTGCTTCATACCCCATCAGGATGTGTCCTGCACCCATTAAGCTTTAGGTATGAAGTTTTCTGTTGATTTCATTGCTCTTTAAAAGATGCACTATTTCATTTGAGCACCTCTTCTCTGGCGTTCCAAAGACTATTACAAAACCAAGAACTAATTCATCAGCCTAAAAAAAGCAAAGCTAGAACCACAAAGAGATTTTCCAAACGTAGAAATAGAAACTGTATTAGCTCTAGAAACTCAATATAAATTCATTAAAACCAAAATAAAGTGAGGACAGAAAGTTGCTTTTGCATTAAAATCCAGAGAGTTTTTAAATTCCAGGCTAGTTTTCTCACTAAAAACCACACAGATCCCAATGGTGTTAACAAGAACAGTCCATTCTTAGAACTAAATTGATATGAGACAGTTTAATGTTGTAAGTACTTCAGGACAACCTTGTCTGGTTTAAGCACATGGAGGTGATATTTATTGTGCTGTCCCAAGGTGGACAGTTCTTCATTCCAATGGTCTCTGGAATAGTTGATGGAGTCGTGCAAGGGGCTAAGGAAAATTATTGGAGATTAATTGCACGTCTAAAACATATAAACACAGCTTAAAATTAATTGGGCTAACTGCAAGCACATAGAGAAATAATAACCCAATAGTTAAAAATATGCATAATTATTAAGTGATTGCATTTATATCTTCAGAAATGCAAAGTATAACCCAAGGCGTTCACTTATTAGTCTTTGGTGTAATCATCATTAACATTTTCTTTTGCATTTTTATGAGTAATAAAGCCATGATTATAAACCAGAAGCATTGAAATGGCAATCTCTATTAATCCATATGGCGCACCAAAAGCCCTTGCAAATAACATATAGGAAATGTTTCTTAAGTTAATTATCCTCTACCACTGGACCTTCAGGACCCGATGGTTCATCAGAATGTGAGACTGTGGCTCTGCCAAGCTGAGGGGGTTTGTTGCATCAAGAGCATTATCATGTTTGTTAGCAAAACCCTACACTTGGCCATTTTTACAGCCTTCCCCAGAGGCAGCTGCTGCAGGAAGCCCCATAAAGGTGCTGTTTGTGGGGGGGTTGTTCAGAGATCGCAGAAGTGTTTGCATCCCATCTGCAATGGAAGCTGCAATGAAGAAGCTGTGACGATATAAATTATTATTTCAATTATATATATATATATCCAGTTACTCCAATGTTATTTCAGGTATATTTTGTGTAGGAAGAGAAGGGGGGAGCTCCATGAAGCACTGTCAGAACAAGGGAGTGATTTGCAAGATAAAATTAAAGGAAAAAAAATCATTTTCCCTGTATTTTTCCCTGTGTGGTTCTCACAGCACTTAGCAAGAGGGGAAAGCTGCTGAGCTCTGTGCCTATAAAGCCCAGTTCTGCAGTCTCTGGGTGTTGGAGAAGGACCACCAGCTCTGGAGGACCTCAGAGCAGCTCCAGTGCCTAAAGGGGCTGCAGGAAAGCTGGAGAGGGGCTTTGGCCAAGGGCCTGTAGGGACAGGCCAAGGGATTTGGCTTTAACCTGCCCGAGGGGAGACTGAGATGAGCTCTTAGGCAGAAGCTCTTCCCTGTGAGGGTGCTGAGGCGCTGGCACAGGGTGCCCAGAGAAGCTGTGGCTGCCCCATCCCTGGCAGGGTTCAAGGCCAGGTTGGACACAGGGGCTTGGAGCAAGCTGCTCTAGTGGAAGGGGTCCCTGCCCGTGGCAGGGGTTGGAGCTGGAGGAGCTTTGAGGTCCCTTCCAACACAAACCATTCTATGATACTATGATATTACTGTAGGTATGTGTAAGTATGAGCTGTGCAATGGATGCTTGGTGGATCGAGTGCAAGTCATGCCAATCACTCAATCCATATGGGTAGGATCCCACCTTGACTCAGCGCTGGGTTTTGCACAGTGATTTAGAGAGACCTGCATGGAGACTTCCTAGTCATCATCTATCCAGTGGGATAGGGAAGTGAATGAGACTTGTGCGTGTCAGCGCTTCTAATCAGGTCACTTTGTACTTACAGTGCTCACAAAGCCACCGCTCCACCTTCCATGGGCTGGGACTCAGGAGGTAAGGATGCAAAATTCATGCATCCTTTGAGACGGAGATTGACCTGTCTGAAAGTAAAGGAGACATCAAAGAGCTAATTGGTGTTATAAGCTTATATGCCCTTTCCCACTGAAAAGGGTTCATAGGGATGATATAGTAACATTTTATGGAAGCAGTTTTATGCTTCCCTTTAATATCGTTCACAGCTTTGTATTTTAAGAGTAGAAACAACTTCTGCTGTTGGGGAGAAATAAATGAAGGGAAAAGCAGGTTTTTTGTCAAAGTAAAATCATTCCGTCAAAGGGCTGGGTTTCCTTTTGCATCGTGAATAAATGATCAGCAGCAGACCTAGAGCAGCACATGAGATTACAGGGGGAAAAGAGCATTTAAAAGTAATCTTAGCCCTTTAAAACTGCTCTCTCCTACAGGCTCCATTCTGTGGAGTAACACTGTCAGAAGACATTCTCCTGCTGGAAGCAGCAGAGCTGGAGAAGCCAGGATGGTGTGCTTTGTGTCAGAATTAAAGGGATAAAGACTCGTGTCTGATCGTAAGCTCCCAAATAGGTTCAAACTCCTGACTGCAAAAGTACATGCAGTGAAACCCCACTTTAAAAGCTCCGTAAATCCATCTCTCTTTCATTTGCTCCCTCCCTTTTTTTGGTCTGTGTGTGAGGTTTTTCTCTATGCAAGACCCAGAGCTGTCATTTTGAATATACTGTTCTTTGCTGTTTGGACTGACAATTTCTGAACACATTTCTGTAAGTGATTCAGAAAATAAATGCATTTTAATGGGTAAAGATGCCTTCATTTCCATGGATAAACCATGGAAAAGCAACATGATCAGTAAATAATGGAGGCTGAAGAGAAGCAGCAGCTTCTCCATCCCTCTCCCATGGGGGATACAGGGAGCAGTGAGACTTGGTGGGGTTTAGCCACAGCCAACCAGGAACAGTGAGTTTCAGTCTCCCACAGCTCTGCTCAACACCTTAATGAGACCACCAAGTCAAGTCTGGTTAATTATTACATAGTTACGCCCTTTTGTACCTAGGATATTAATCAAGATAGTTAATAAAGAAGAAAAAAGAGCCTAATGTGTCTTTAGCCCACATTTACTTCAGTGCAAGAAAATCACACGAACGTGAGGGAGATCATTTGGTTAACTTCACTTCAGTGAGTTTATTAAAGAAGAAGGGAGACTTAGGAAGTCATTAATGAAAAGTTTAGCAGGTTGGAGTTTGTAATCAACTCAATGTACCCCAGCGCCAGATGCTTGATCTGCAAAGTCATGAACTGCAGGTGATTTAAACATCAGCTCTTTGCCACGGCGAGGCACGAAATGAAATACCTCTTACAACGCTGCATCGCTCATCATTCTTCTAGCAAAGATTGCAGCGTCTGCCATTTCTAATGTGACATTTCTTCCAGCAAAGCTTAAATTGCATCCTCTGAGCCACATCCCCCATCCAATTTGCGAAAATATGAAGACATGTTACCAA